GGGGATTGCTGGTCCCAGAGGTCCTGCAGGCCTACCTGGACTGGATGGTGCAAAGGTTGGTTGTTTTTTCCCCTGTTGCCTAACCAAAATGTTCTTGTGATTAGTTAGCGCATTGGAGAAGCAGGATCTTGGTGGCATCCATCCTTCTGTAAGGGATAGGTCTTGCCTGTTAGCTAGACTCCTTTACTGGAGTGAAATTTTGTCACAGGCGCTTAGAACTGCACAGCTTCCCATATGGATGATGTTTCAGTTAAATAGTTAAATTCAGTCTTTTCTCATACCATCCCTCTATTCACAAAAACTTAGATGAGCTTGATTCTTGATGATGAAATTCATTCCTTTTTTTTTTGTTTTTTTTGAGAGAGAGAGCTAAAGACTTTAGGGTAAGTTTCATTTTAATCAGGTGAGGAAGAAATTAAAGCCTCAGCAGTAGCAACTCTGCATGCCCCCCTCCTTTTTGAATGCTGTATGCTTGAATCACTTTAAATTAAAGGTGATGCAGTGGACTGCTGGGTTCCAAACACCTGCCACAGTTGCTTTATCTGCAGGCTCCAAATGTTCATTGAAACATGCTATAGGAAGAACAGCTAATTTCAGCTGCATGCCTCTGCTTCACAAACTCAAGCTTGCTATGTCTGAAGGATTTTAATAACGTAACATTTCAAGGTTTTTCCATGAGTAACTCTGTCATCAGTCTGTTTAGAATGGCAGTGCTTGCTTACAGTGAAAACCTTTACAACTTCCTAATGTGAAATGAATCAAACCTGATCAATGGAGGGAGAGATAAGGTGTGTTCATCCTAGAGCACAGATAGTTTTTCCCCAGACTTGCCTTCATTCTGACTTACTGTCTAAAACAACATGTACTATTTCAATATCCTTGTATTTGTACTTACTAGTATGTATAACAAGTTATTTCAGATTGAGAAATTAATTTTACACCTTGCAATTAAAGATATGGGAGTCGGGGGGCAGAAGCAGAGTCTCGAAAGTAAATATAGGTTGATCAAATGAGAGTGTGCTCTGGGACAAAATTTGGAAAATAACTAGTAACCCATAGCTACAATATCAGGTAGAAATCCTAAGCAGAATTTCTGAGCTATACCTCATCTTCTGATGCATTCTTATGTAGTAAGGAGCAGGTGGAGAGCTGGGTAGCAAGAATGAATATTTAGCTTAAATAGCATCACTTTTAAAGTGGCATGTGAATAGTATTAAATAATAGTTTAAAAATGAGTAAACATGAAATCACATTTTGAAATATTAAGAGCACTTATTCTAAAACCTCTCCAAAGTTGCAAACACAAAGACAGTGCTCCTGTTTGATTATATATGCAGGATCCTAAGGGATGAAAGACACAGAGAGTTCTATTCTTTTGAAAATGCTGTATGGTCCCTAGCACTACCATAAAAACTGGTATTAGGCACCATTCCGAAGTGTAGCAGTGGAACTGCAGATCCTTGCTCTAGCTGCATGACCAATTTCTTTCCTTCTAGTAAAATGAATTGTGCCTCTTTTATTTGATAAATAGCGTCTCTTCTTTCCTCACTTGTCTCCCAGGTCTCCTCCAATGAACCAAAGTATCATTTACATAGTCAGTATTATGCATTAATGTCCTGTGCATTGCTCAGGTCATAATTTGCTCCCCATCATCTTGATATTTTTTTTTTTGCTGTAAGATTTAGCTGTAAGATTGCTATTTCTAAGTTTAATACAAGCATTTACATACCAGTTAGTTGTCTCCTTTCTGTTGCTGCTAGTAGAGAGAGGGAGAGAAGGGCACTTTGTTGGTATGAATTTTATGACTGAACCTTGAAATGCCTTTGTTGTCCCTAAAGGGAGAGGGTATTACTAGCTCACTCTATAAATGTATATCTGCACTAGTCTGGATAATTCCTTACCAAAGAGACCCATTTAGTTCAATGCCAAACAATCTGTGCATTTTTAAGGATTTGTAGGTCCTCTTTATGTCCAGGAGACCACAATATTAAAAAAAAAAAAAAAATACCCCCATCGCCCCCATAAATGTATATTTGCCAAAGACCATTTTTTCCGTGTATTTGGGCTCTAAA